TCATAATGGAAATTTTTGAAATCTGAAATGCTTCTCTCTCTTTATATCTTGTACAAGTACTTTTTTGAGCGAGGGGTCACGACTACAATAACAAGGATCATTAAAAATCACTTCCATGGTCCATGGTCGACATGGAGAAAAGTCCCTAATGACATAAAGGAGTTAATGTTTCAAGAATTTCAGGTACTATGTTTGTTAATTAAATTTTAAATTTTTGTTTTTAATTAATTTGTATCAATTTTTTTAGTTGCTCATTTATTTTGATGTAGGAAAATTGTGTTTGGCCACCTAATCAAAATGTTTTGGTTCGACGAATATGGGATAAAATTTGTTTCGATCGGTTAAGAGACATGCTTTCAGAGGAAAGGAATAAAGCAATGACAGAAGCAAAAACAAACAACATTAGGGATTGCAAAGGCATGTCAAGGAAATGGATCACAAATGAAATCTGGGATACCCTTATCAATACGGTATGGGGTATAGAAGAATGGCAAAATAAATCTAAAAAAGCAAGACAAAATCGCTTAATGCCAAAAAAAGGAAGCATTTCAAAGCACACTAGCGGTTCAGTTCCATTTGTTGTTAATGCAAAAAGGATGGTATGAATTTATTTTACATCGCATTTATATGTATGGTTTTCTTTCAAACTAAATAAAAATTGTATCTTTAATAGTTTGACTTTGGGTTTTCTTTACAATATATCGATTATGATTGAGTATATATAGTTGTAAATAAATGCAGGCAATTGAGATAAAATGAGATGTTAGCTTTTTGGAAGTGTTCAACCATACTCATAAGCGTTTAACGGGTCATGGTGATTTCATAGATAACAAGTCTAAATCTGCGAGTGTATGTACAAAATTGATATATTTTTACTTCAAAGTTGACGATATAATTGAATATTAATCTTATTTAATTTTTTATGTAGGAAATGTATAATTTTGTATTATCACAGAAGTATGGTGAAGATTCATCTTCTCAACCAGAATTTGATCCGCATGCTTGGACAGAAGCAATTGGAGGGATGGAGACTACACGCACTCACGTATATGGGTTTGGTACTCAGGTGCCTGTTACAGCTCTACTTAGTGGAACACAAAACAATGTAGCAACATCTAAGTCTGCATGTGGCCCTATCAACTCAAATGCTACCAATCCCGTAATTGCATTAGAAGAAAAAGTGGAAAATCTATAAAAAAAAACTTGGGTAAGATATGTAAGGAAATACGTTAAAAAATTAAGAATGTAATGGCAGAAAGCATGAGTGAATTTATGGCACGTATGGAAAGCATGATCATGACTAATGCGCATTCAAAACAAGGAAATGCGGGTACTTCAAGCTCAAACCTTGACAAGTAAGAACGCAACATTTCATGATATGATGTCTTTTTTTCACTGCTACACTTGGATACTTTTTACTATATGTGTTTGATAATACATTTAGTTTTATATTCATATGTGTTTGACATTTTTAGATATTGTGTGTTTAAGACAATTAGTAATTGTATGAACTTGACTTTAAATTTTAGTTTTTAATGTGTGTTTCTCTTATATATTTTGAAAGTCAATTATGGATGTCAATTGATAATTTAGTATCAATATTTTAATTGATATTTGTTGTTGGAAAAGCATTACTAACAAGACATACAATTATCAATTAGTAAAAGAATTCCGTTGGAAATACATTACCAACGAAAATTTCCATTGGAAATTTTCAACAGAAATTCCGTCAGAAATGCTATTCCAACAGAATTCTCCATTGGAAATGATTTTTCGACGGATTTTTTCCATGAAAATTTTCCGTTGGAAGAGTATTTCTGACGAAATTTTTGTTGAAACTTTCCAACGAAATTCCGTTGGAATTTAATTTCTTACAGAATTTTTTTCACTGAATTTTCCGTGGGAAATGCTTTTCCATCGGAAAAATCCGTTGGAAATTCCTTTCCTACGGAATTATTTCCAACGAAATTTTTCGTGGGAAATGCTTTACCTTTCCCACGAACAATTCTGTTAGAAATTCTTTTCCGACGGAAATTTCATTGGAAATTTCCAACGGAATTAATAAAGGATAGCTAACAGATTATTCATTTTTTCCAATGGAATTTTTTGTTGAAAATTTTCAACGGATTTCCAACGGAAAGTATTACCGACGGAATTTTCAACGGATTTTTTCGTTGGAAATCCATCGGAAAAAGGTATTTCCAACGGAATTTCAGCTTTTTCCAACGAAATATTTCGTCAGAAAAAACATGTTTTTTGGTAGTGTCTGAATATGCATTCATTGCTCATATTATGAATATGTAAAATTTTGATTTTTTTTTTGTTGAATGAGATCTATTTATAAGAATCTCATCTTGTAGAAAAAAAGAAAAAAAAGAAATGCTGAAGAGAAAAAGAGAATAAAAAAACTATCATAGCAAATAAAATGTGCAACAAATTATTGCCCAAAACTTTTATGTTTGATTTATATTCATTTTATTGAGACTTGCACTTCTTAGTTTGTGATTAAGAATATGGGGAAGAGTTTGCTTTCTTATAAATACAAAGATGTTTTAATTACACTTGAATTTGGACCACAGAATTTTGAATAATGGTAGCTACATTTGCCTTTTTAAAAGCCAGACCATATATGGTAAATGAATTCGGATGAAGCATTAGAGAAACAGAATTGGCATTCAAATACAATTGCATTGAACTTGCTTAGTAGCTTCCTGCTGGAGTGTTTTCATTACACTCCATTCAAGTGCTGAGATAGTTTTGGGAATTATTATTACTATGGATATTTTCTGTGATGATAACATCATACTGAATGCTATTGGGTTGCGTCCATGAGGAGAAAGATCCTTGCAAGATAAAAATCTGCTAAAAATTGATAACTATCAGGACAATCACTAAATAAAAAATAATAAAATAAATCAGAGTTAAAAAAATACTATGATCATTACAATTAAGGCAAAAAACAAAACAAAGTACCAAAAACTCAAAATCGAGTACCACTACTATTTTAATAACTGTAAACATATCAACACAAATCATAAAACCAAACTACTAAACCAAGAATAACAAAATAAATCAAAGAAAAAGAAAAAATACCATGATCGATATAATAAGTGCAAAGAACAGAACATAGACCCAAAAAAAATAAATAAAAAACTAACGGAATAAAACCTTAATAAATTAGAAGACAATAAACAAACAAATAAAAAACCAAGAACAAATGTTGAATCATGATACAACCAAACTAACAGAATACAAAAAAAAAAAAGAAACATGGAAGAATATGATCAGCACCTCCCTTGCATAAAAAAACTAGAAAAAAAGTAAAAAATCAATCTACAACAACCCGCGCATCCCTCTTCTATGCTACGAATAAAGCATTAATTAAGAGAGAAAGCAGGTACCAGAGGAGGAGAGAGAGTTCGATACGACAGGTGAGAAAACGAAAATTGACCGACGAACAGAAGAGAGACTAACAGCAATTGGGGATGTAAAAGACCTAATATCAACGATAAAAGAACGATGAACTGAAAGGCCAAAAGAAATAAAAAGCCATTAATCGACAACAAAATATAAAGGCTTAATATCAAAACATTTTTAAAAAAAGCTCAAAAAAAATATAAGGAGGGACTTTAATTGAATGACACTTGTCATTCAATTAGAGACTCAATTGAAAGAACTTTGAACAGTAATCAAATTATCCTACTTTTATACATAGTATAGATATATCAATCACATAAAACGCTGCGTTTCGTGTGGTGTTTGTTTTTCTTTTTTTTTTTTTTAAGTATTTCCATTCTTCACTTGTTAAACCTGAATTAACTGAAACAACGTTTGCAAAAGTGTCTCCCTAACCTAGGATTTTGGCCTTTGAGGAGGGTGGTCTTGTGGAGGCCGAGGCATTAGTCAGGGCTGTTTCTTAGTCGTAGGCAACAGGATATATAACCAAGTGGATTTTGAGTATATACAGGAAATACCCTTCAACGGCAACATGATATATAACCAAGTGGACTTTTAGTATATACATGAAATACCTTTCATTCAACTCAAATTTGAGACACCATTGGTTTTTCCCCTTTGTTAGTGGTTTTTGGGCTTTGTCCTCAGTCGGTTGCAGGGAATAGGAAACAAATTTTGGGCCTAAAAATGAAAATGGACATTAAGTTGGGCTTAAAATGAAAGCAATTTTTAATAACCATGATTTTGTTTTAATTTTTTTTAAAAAAAATTTGAATTGTTCTGCCTTTGTGTGACAGATTTCATACGGAAACAGATGATTTCACATTCGAAAACTATGAGTTTAATCTTAAACTCAATAAATTATGTCTTTTAAATTGAAAATATAAATTTGTTACATTCTTCTTGAAAAATTTTCGTTCTCAAGATTTAAAAGCTTTTAATTTGAAGTAAATTAAAGATGGATAATCAATCATCTTTGAATAATTATGTTTTTGAATATATATATATATATATATATATATATATATATATATATATGTATTCTTTCTCCACCAAGAACAGCCTTGTTCTTCTTACTAGCTTATAGCCCTGAGACAATCACTCTGCATGTATTGGTATCCGGCAGGGTCACTCCTCGATGAGAGCTGGTCCAATGAAGGACGCGGAAAGGGCACTCAGATGAGTTGTTGGCATGGTAATTCAACTAAGTTTTATTTATTCTGTGTTTGGGTTGCTGCGAGCTGCAATTGCTCCTGCTTTTTGTGAATTGATAGGTTTTGAACATTATTTTTGGGTGTGCTTCGTGTAGAGGGGTTAGCATGTTACTTGGATGCTGCCAATAGCTTTTTCACCAGTTTATGTTCTTTTGTAATTGTACAGGGCTTTGATAGACCAAAGCTAGAATTCTTATGCCGCCAGAAGTCTTACGAACCTGATTCAGGACTTGGCTTCCGGGTTTAGGTCAAGCCGCTTTAAAGGTCTCAATCCTCCGTCATTACTCGAAAGCAATTCCTCAAAAACTCTATTTGTCACCCTTGCGCTCCATGGCCAACTCACCTGGAGCATCCCAGGAAGCTAGCAGAAGCTGTAGGGACAATATTAGCAATCTTCCAGATGATTTAATTCATCTCATTTTATCATTGCTCCCTACGAAACAGGCGATGGCTACCTCCGTTCTGTCAAAAAGATGGATTTCACTTTGGACTGTAGTTTCTACCCTGGATTTTGAGGAGCCAGATAATTGCAGAACCGATGAAGAAGCTAAAATGAAGTTCAGGCAGTTTGTTTGTAACGTTTTGGCGCAGAAAAATTATGGCTTCGTTGAAAAATTTCGTCTCCATTGCAATTCAAGCTATGGTAGCTAGTGCATTAACGCATGGACTTGCTCTGCCATCGAGCGAGGTTTGCAGCAAGTAGATATCCGCATCTCCAAACCAGTTTATCTTCATATAGGAGGGGACTTAGCGCATATACCCAGGAGCTTGTTCTGGGTGAAGACATTAAAAATTTTGAAACTGGGGGGTGAAATTACGGTTGATGTTCCAGGCCCGGTTTGTTTTCCAAGTCTCAAGGTTTTACATCTTAGGTGGATTCAGTATGCAAATAATAACTGTGTTAGCTGGCTTATTTCTGGGTGCCCAATTGTTTAGAAATTGCGTATATACACATGTATTAGCCAGGAACATGCGGTGAACTTCAATATTTCCATACCTACTTTGAAGCGTTTGGCTTTGGGCATACTTTATGATCTTGGTTTTGATTTGGAACACAAAGTTGAGATAAATGCCCCAGCTCTGGAGTACCTCACTCACCATGTCTTAGAGGTTAAGCCAAACGTCTTAGATGCTGAGCGACGCAAATATTTTGTTGGAAATTTTCCTTGCTTAATTAAAGCAAGTGTTATAGTTCCATTTAGATGTGGAATCCAGCCTCTCAAAGCACTTTCCAATGTCAAGTTTCTTGAAATTAAGGAGTATCGCTGTTTGAAGACATTGGTAAGAGACACTCTTAACTTTTTTAAATTTATGTCTCTTTATTTTGCATTTTTTAAATCATATAGTTTATACTTGCTACCAATCCTTCATTAAACTAGTAAATTTTGGCTTTTCTACTTCATTAAATTAGGATCGTTAATCAATTGTATTGGTACTTACTACTCTGCTTTTTCAGGCACAGGATTGTTTACCTATGTTTTTGAATTTAACCCAGTTGGATCTAATTGCTACTAACTGGGCTGTGGTATTACTGTTCCTTCACACTTCTCGTAAGCTAGAAACTTTGACAGTTTTTGTTAAGGTGAGTTGATTATAGAATTGATTTATTAAACTAGTCAAATTCTCCCCAATCTAAGACCTTATCTATGAGTTGTGCTATCTTCTGTCTCCAGGTAATACTTAGCAGTGGGTGTAAATGCAGTTGGACACAGCCAAAGCATGTCCCTATATGTTTCTCAAGTCTAAGGACAGTTTGTGTTAAAGGATTTGAAGGTTTGGAAGATCAAATGAAAATGGTAGAGTATGTTTTAATGAATGGTAGAGCGTTGAGGACAATGGAAATCCACACTAGTGATAAATTGTCTTCAGATTCAAAGCTTTGTATTTTCAAGACAATATCAATGTTGCCAAGGGGCTCGGAGACTTGTCAGCTCTCTTTCAATTGAGGTACTATATGACTAAAGGAAACTGATTTTCAAGTATAATGGTCATAGCAAAATCTTCTGATTGGCAACTTATTGTGTTTCTATTAACTCATTTGAGATGGTGGGATAGC